GACAAAGAGTCACACTTGTAGAAGGTCTTCTCATAAGCTATTGCACAGGAACAATGCCTACAATGGAAGCAACACTTCGTCAATTGAATTCCTTGTATTTATTAGGTTATTAAACTGCCAAAAATAGATATTATCTAGCATTAAGTAACCTTTGATATAGTAATAATAATTTTGAAAAACAAATTTCCAACAATAGTCCATACAAAATGCTTCTGAATTTAGTACTAGTGTACTGTCAGACATAAACTGAAAGTGCACCTGTGGTTTAATAAATGGATAACTATACAAACTAATTGAGCAGAAGAATTCAAAATAGAATATACAGTCCAAGGATATTTATTAAAATTATTAATAACATTTTCCTTGTATCAGTATGATAATGAGAAAACTGATAACAACTGCATGTAATTAGCATGCAAATTAGCTAATAACTACAGACAAACATTGTTCATTGATTTATCTGTTATACAGTTATATCAGAATTATATGTTGCATGGAAAAAATTAAAAAAAAAAACATTTTTATTTGCATTTCACACTAAATCATACTTGGTTATGTGAGACTTTGAATTGGTCCTAGCCCACTTTGCTAATTTTCAACAGCATAGGTGGTTTGGGCCTCATTGTTATTCTTAGAGTCCTTCTAAACTCATAGTTCTCTACAGGAGAAAATTTAAGATCTCTCAACAAACCAGCAAGGATTACTCTCATCGCAATTTGTGCAAACTTGTTACCTACAAATAAAACAGAAAAATAAAGAATTACAGGTATTTTTTTAAACAAGGGAACAGGGGCGCAGCGCCCTCATGCCATGGCCATGCGCCCCTTACCCTGGGGAGACGATCTTCTGGCAACCATAAAATTCTGATTGACCAGGAATCACATGTGGCCACAGTCTTCAATTGTGACCTGTCTGATAGTAATTTTGGCCCCAAGGAAGCCATAGAATGCTCCATTTTAACTTAGAATTATCAAAAACTCTACACCCTGGTAGGCAGAACCCTATCTCTCCCACTTAACTTGGTGGCACCACTAAATTGCAGTGCTCCTTCTTGCTTTTCTAGAAAAAACCCTGGGATTATATTGGCTGCATATAACGACTCAGTTGAATTCAATAGAACAGGGCAGATTCAATACTATTTCATTGATATAGTGTGCAA